TCCTTTGCAGTTAGGCAATAAAAATATTGGTGAGTATTAAGGATTGCTTATACTGCAACGATTCTTAAAATATGCTGACCAAGAATTCTGTTAAGCGCAAGGCCAATCTCTCTTAATGATGCCAGATTGAGGAGTTAACTTTTTAAAATTAACAACATTCCATTCAACATGTTATAATCTGTTTTCCTGCTCACCCAATGCAGCTTTTAGCATTATGTCTTTGAAACCGATGATGCGAAAAAGGCTCAGATTAAGTCCTTAAGAAGACCCCTTACTCTTATTTCACTAATTACCCATTCTGAGATTTGAAGCAGCTGGTTTTTCTTACTGGAGCAGCAAAAAACACTAAGAAGAATAAGGGTTTCCTTTTAGGAAGGAAAAGGTCAGGATGGCAACTAACTATAGGAAATACACTTAGTAGCAGACTTGTAGATATATATCCATTTTTTTAAAAGAATTTGATCCCTGCCCCATTTAAGCAACACAATCTTCTTCAATCAGGAGCCCTCCAATTATGTTGGATTAAAAATACAAATATAGACAAAATGAGCTGCCAATCCTAATTTATAATTCCTACTTTTTGAAACTCATTTTTGCTTAAATTGTGTCTCAGAGTTCTGTCTTGCTGGATATGAATATGTTTTCATGTTTGAAAATTACTTGTCTTCTACTTTCCTAAATTTAAAGGTATATACAAAATAGGTGCCTTTTTAAAAAATATCAGAGGGCGCCACTGCAGAGGTTCCGAAAATTTGCATTTTCTGAATTTTTCAAGTATATTAAGAAAGTATAATTTTCATGTGCTTTTATTGTGGAGAGTAAAAACTTTTTAAAAATATACGTGAAAAAAAGACAAAGGGACAAGAGAAATTAGTAAATAATAAAGGCAGAAAAATGCTTGAAAATATAAAAATATGTTTGGTTATGATTTTTTTTACAAGGAAGAGGAAAAGAAGACAACACAAGGGAGGAAAGCCCCAGGCAAATATGTGTGTTGCTGTTTTGAGGTGGGTTTTTTTTTGCAATGTGTAAGTTCTGAGTGAACTTTTTAATCTTTTGAAAGTCTGCTGAAATGTCTAATTCTTTCAGGTTGCTCTATATAAAATTGCTGCCTAAAGTCTTTATTGGAAACTTAGGAACACCTGAAAAACACGTTGTCTTCACAATTTGCTTCTTTCAAAAAATTACAGTAAATTAACATGTAGTTAATTTACAGATGATCTAAACTTGCCTTACAGGTACTAAATACTTTATCCTGCTCATACATGGGATATTCCTGGCAGAAAATAAATGGATAAACTAAGAGAATCATTCAAGATTATACAGTAAATTGTTGTAAAGGCCTATATGAGTTCCCAGATCTTCAAGAGTAAATCCAGTATCACATGAACATCATTCCCCTTTCTGTGAAACAGCCTAGTTATTCAAATAGAGTAGCTTGTTCAAATAATTTTCAGCAGTATTTGTTTAAAAAAAACATTTGTTTCAGAATAACTGAACGAACAAGGAACATGTTAACCGAACATCCAAGCTACATATTCAGAATTATCTCATAATATAGCACTCAGAAGGCTAAATGAAGATTCTGAACATAGTCACACATTGCACCAAGCCATGGTTTGTTGAACAAATCACCACTGCCTGGAATTATATAATATGCTTAACCATAAACTATGAGTTATAAACCACAATGTTGGATTCACTGAAAACATTAAACCAATACTCGATTTAGTCTTGTCATAATTAGCCAAGGTGTTTGTATAAATGAAAGCCTGCACACACAAAAGTTATGAATTAGAAAAGTAGATCTAGTTTAAGGATATGTTAATATTTTTAGATTTTTATTAATATATTTACAGCATAGTGCTTTATATGATTAATCGGAAGTCTGCCCCACTGTTATTGAGATTTCCAGATAAATGACTACAGGATTGAAGCATTAAAACATAGGATTTTTACAATTTATATCAAATATTCTTACCTTAGAAAGATATTATATAATATATCAAATAAACTCATCGTTCATGAAATTTAAACTTTTTGTAGTGATTGATTTATAATTGTTTATTATTGTGCCTTTGATTATGTCTCGATCTTTGGGGACTCCTTTGATTCCAGGGACTATCTAGTCTTTGCAGTTTTCTTGGTAACATTTTAAAAAATTGTCTACTTATTGCCTTCTTCCTGGAGCTGAGAGTGAGTGACTAGCCCAAGTTCACCCAGCTAGCTTCATGCCTATGACAGGACAATTCAGAGTCCCCCAATTTCTAACTTGGTGCCCTAGACACTATATAGCACACTAGCTTTGTTTTGTTTATAGTATCTTGCAATTTAAAAAAAAATCAGAATAATTTAAAATTGATCATAAAACACAACAAATCATTTTGAATTCTGAATTGAATTCTACTTACTTGGAGCTATAAGGAAAAGTACTACATACTTAAACACTTGCTTTATCATCTATACTAGGGCAAATGGCAGCCCACAGATCAAATAAGGCCTATTGCCTATTTTTATACTGATTGCAAACAGATGGGCAGATGGCAGATTACCAGGCCCAAGCCTCAGCCCAACTTTCAAAGTTGGAGGATTGCTGAGATTAGGTGCCCTGGACAGCAGTAACCTATCAGTGACCTCCTTACTGTTAGGTTGGCATCATCCAATGGATGCTGGGCTGTTTAACCTCCTGGCCCAGCTTCAGCTGTTCCCACAGAGGTACAAGATCTGGTCCTTTAGAGAAAAGGTTTCCAATCCCTGATTTACGCACATTCTCTAATTTAGACCCTCAATAATTAATACTGAATTCTAGCATCAAGTGATACTTAAAATTATTTCCTCTAACTTAAAAACAGTACAGAGTAAAGTCATCCTCAAACCATGCTTAATTCCTAGTGAACAGAACATGAATAGTATGTTAATTCCAGATAAACAAGCATATTAAAAGAATGTCTTTTCTGGTAATATTTATCTGTTACAAATATGCATATCAAAATGCATTTCACTGTATATCCTTCATCTTAAACCATAAATAATGAAACAAGTTAAAACAACTGGAAACTGAATTGATAATATATCACAAGGTAATTGCTATTGTCTTAATCAGCTACAGAAGTGTTGCTGAATTACAGCAACATCTGCAAGGTCAGGCAGAGAAAAATTAAAATCTAAGAAGTTAATTCAGATCTGTCTGTCGTTTCCTTAGAGGAGTGCTTACCATATTCCACTTGCCAAATATTGATTACTCCTACAACATAACATGAAGAGCAGTTTCAAATAAACAAGTAGGAAATTAACAACACATCAATCTGCTAGTGACTTTATACAAATTGAATAGTTACATTCATGTATTTTACATAGTACAAGGATATGAGGAAACTTTTTGAAATCATGCAAATTCAACTTTCACAAGATCCTCCCTAATCCTTAGAATTAAATTTGATTGTTACAAATCTTATCCAAAAGAATAGTTTGAAGTGAAAGAAAAGTTAACCAAGCTTAACTATTTTTACACAGTAGAATAAAGATTGAATCAGAACATACACTAAGTTTTGGCCTAGTAATCTGCAAACCAATCCTAATGCCCAAAGACAACTCTTGCTCAGTCATGCACATATTTAAAATATATTTCAATTAAAAGCATGACTCTTCTACTAAAATCAATGAAGCTTCTTAATCCTGCCATAAACACACACACTTTTCTTCTGCAAGAGAGATTTTACTTTGTCATGCCCAAATGTCTTGGCAAAATATACATGAACTAGTTGACATTCTGCACCTTTAAACAATTTTAAATTGATCTGCAACCAACTACAAAAAGGAACCTTAAGATAGGTTTTAGATCAGACTCTTCCAGCATTGTTTGCTTATTTTAAAATTTTAATTTAAAAAAAAGGGAGGGGGTAAAACATCTGGTCAACATTATAAACTGGATACCAGAAGACAAAAGAGGAAATGGACCAAAATGAAATAAATCCTTCCTCTAGTCTTGGCTCACCCATCCCATCTGCTTCTTCCTTCTGCTGACATGGAAGGCTTTGAACCCCTGCAGTGGCCTGTATATTCCCCCTTCGCAGGAAGCCTGGTAAGGAAATGCCAGACTGCTCTCTGCGAGAAGCTAAGCACTTAATATGCCTTGCTGGAAAAGTAAACTTTCCACAAATTTTCGACACAAGGATGATGTTACAAATCCAGGAGTTTTTCTCCTGGCACTTGAATGTGCTCAATGGGCCAAGGCTAGACCCCCGCCACCGCACCTCCAATTTTACGGACCTAAATGCAACAGGCCAAACAATAGGAGTGAACGAGGCATTGCAAAGCAAGGCGATTCTCCATAAAAGCAGCTCACCTCTGTTCCGCACATCCCGAATAAAAAGAGAGAGATGAGAGCATGTGCCCCACATACATGCTGCAATTCACGCCCCACCGAAAACTACTTCCCCACTGGTTTTAATGGTATATGTGAAGTCTATCCTCGACAGTACCTCCACCAATTTACCTACAGAAAAGGTAACCATTTGACAATTCACCTATGATCCTATTTGGACCACATTAAATAACGTTTAAGATCTCTCCCCTCCCCCCGGACTTCAGATCAGATTTAATTCCAAGCGATTCCGGCTTGCAACTTTCACTGACACCCCTCCTCCCCCCCAAAATGTTAAGTCTATAATTCACTGTTTTCCGCATCGCGTCTCCGGGTCTTAAGAGACTAAACTTTTTATCAAGCCCCCTTTGACAGGATCGCTGGGAGGGAGCGGAAAGCGGCTTTACTATATTTCTTCCCCTCTTGAAATCCCCCAAAGGACAATTTGGGATGCAATCCTATAGCTCGACCCCCTCCAGGGAGTTCAGCGGGGGGTGTATTACACCCATGCAAACCTGCGTGCACGGCAGACTTCCCACGGCGCCCGATTCCCTGAGCCACATTTCAAGGAAGCTCAACACGCGTCGGAGGAGAGCCACTGAACATCGCCCGGGTCCCCTTCACAAACCCTACTCACCTCTGTGAAGAAGTTACTCATGGCTGCACCAACTCCAAAAGAGTCGAGTCAAGGGAAAGGCGGCTTCAAGCATGGGTGGCAAAAGGACGATTCTGGCTTCTGGAGGGGCGAAGGGGGCTGGAGGTCCTCACGCCCTTTCTTCTCCTGCTGCCATCCCGCGGTCTCTCCCTTCTCCTTAGCTTTGCCCTCTTCTTCTCTCTCCCTCCGGCCAAGTGACCCGCAGTATGTTCATTCAGACGAGAGCGGAGGCTTTTGTTCCACGCGGTCGTTCGGCTCAACGCCGCAGCGAGAAGCGGCCGCCGAAGGAAACCCGGTAGCACATGGCTGCCTTCCACCACCACCACCCTCTCCCTCGCCCTTAACGGGTAAAAAGAACAAGCCTGCGCTGGATTTGTTCGAGACGGAGGAGGGAGGGTGCAGGGGGGAAGTCCACAGCAGGAGCCGGACCGAGGACGTCCACAGCAGTTTCCTGAGCAAGAAGGCGCCGGCAGCTCGCTAACTCGCTACGCGCAAAGTGGCTGCGGAGGTGGGGGGGGGGGGGGGGGGGGGGGTGGGGGGGGGGAGAGGGGAACGACGCACACCTTACGGGCAGGACGCCGCTAGGTTTGCGTTATTGCTGGTGCGAAGGCGGGGGCTGTTCAAGGGCCCTCTCGGGTCACGGAGGAGTCTCTGCCGAGATTACGGATTCTCCGCCCCGAAAAGCCAGCGCCTCAGCCAATCCCAGGCGAGCGCCTCTTTGGAATTTTGACCCAGGAGGCGCGCGAGCGACTTTTTTCCTCCTTTGGTTCGTTCGTTCCTGTTTCGCGCTTTTTCCCCCTTTCCTTCCTCACTCTTTGATTGCAGCGCTTCGTGTGTTTCTACCGCTGCTACCTAGGGGGTGTATGTGTGTGTGTGTGTGTGTGTGTCTGTCTCTCTCTCTCTCTCTCTCTCTCTCTGTGTGTGTGTGTGTGTGTGTGAGAGAGAGAGAGAGAGAACCTGCTTGCTGTGACGACTGGGGACGCTCCTTCCCCTCCTAACCCCGTGTCTGGGCTCTAGTAAGTTAGTTTCAGACCCAGTCTCTTTCTCATCCTTAAGTAACCAGCTCAATTTGTTAGACTTTATCCCTCCCTCTGCAAATTCCTGGCAGTTCCAGTGTGGCTCCCAGGGTGGGATTTTTTGACATGCCCTTGCTATGCTATTAACAATAGCACTTAGACTTATATACTGCTTAATAGTGCTTTACCGCCTTCTCTAAGCGGTTTACAGAGTCAGCATATTGCCCTCCCAACAATATTGCATGTTATAGAGACTTTCCACACTCACAGTCTTATCATCCACTGCCTGGGGTGAGAGAGCTACAACTGCACCAATCTGCTTGCAGATGAAAATAGGTCAAGGGGGACCTTAGAGGCTCCTCCAGCCCCCACATATATGTATCCAATGCTTTATGTACATTCTGGTTTGTTGCAGCAACATGGCAGCCCAGCCTTTTCTGATACACGTATATGTGCTTTTGCCTGGCAATAGTCCACGACTAACCTTTGTGACTGTGTTAGATTGCCCTGTACAATCATCCAAGCTGCAACTCAACCATGGCATTTATTTCTATTGACCACATGGTCACATTGCAGAAGCACATGGAAAGCAAGATTTCTGAAATGTCTGATATGTTTGGATAGTAACAGAACTCACAGACACAAATCCATAGGATTGGATGTGGAAAAGTAGAGTTTTTCACTTACTTCAACAAGTACATTATTACTATGCAAAAAAATTGTCCAAGGTATACATACCATAGCATGAGAAAGATTGCATGCCTTCTCCTTAAAACAGCCTCTTAGGGATCATTCATATTTCCCAACCTGGAATTCTCCACAAACATCACAATTCAGCTTCAATAATTCCCCAAGCAGCAAAGTTTTGGTGTTTGGGATTTAAAAGAGTTAAAGTTCACATATGAGACCATCATGGTTGAAAAGGCTGAGATAACACAGCATGAGGCTCTCCAAGTATTTCACAGGAGTTCCAACACTTATGTCTCCTTCATTCTTGTTCAATATGGCTGGTCAGAATGGAATTCAATAATACAATGCAGATTGCCTAACCTTGGAGTAACAATTAAACATTCTTTTTTACTTCTTTAGTATGACCAAGCTGAGCCTGAGGAAAAGGTCAAACCAAGTGCAACTTCAATTTGGAGTCCCTTCGCATCACAAAGATCTAAATCCAGCCCACTTAAATTTCATTAACCCTCATCTACCGCCAATTTGCCTTGACCATTTATAATTCAGATTCTTGTAGACAGCTAGCATGGAATAAACTTGTATTCATTTGAACAGCCTTGGTTCCTGATTTCTTGAGCCTGACAACCTCCCATTTTCATCCCTGCTTTCCCGATTCTGTCAGGGTAGAAATGGTTAGCCAGTGTGGTATTGCATCCAACCCAACAGCATCAGGAATAAGAAACAGTGAAGAGCAGTTTTCTTTCCAACTGTTTGGCGCTTGCAAAATGTAGAAACAGAAGTAGTACTGCAAGCATTAGTATATTATTGCTTCAAAAATTTCAAATGCTAAGTAAAATGCTTATTTAGAATGTGTGATTTTAGCATAGGATGGACTGGCATCCCTTGTTCTGGTTCCCAAAAATATCCAGGATGTAAACAAGATTGCTCAGCAAACACTTGATCAAATACCATCCCCTCCTCCAAACTGTGTATTCACAAGAGTATAAACTATGCTGGAATTAATTGAATCAATGGAAATTGCTTCTAATCATATACACTAATTTTAACTGCAAACCAAGAAACCTCCAAGTTGTAATTAAGAGAGTGATTATGCTGTCTAATGCAAAATGATGGTAAAATTCCAGTAAAGAATACTGATTCATTCTTGTCCCAGGTTTTGCAACTTGTTTAACCACAAAGTTGTCTGGTTTTTTTCCCTACTACTCTGGATTAGTTCATTAAATTAATCTAAATGACTCTAGTTTAATTATCTGGATATGTTATATGAATCCAAATTTTGGCTCTGTGTGTGTGTGTGTGTGTGTGTATTATATAATACACACACACATATAAAATCAGTCAGTGAATGTCATCACTTTGCTTTACGCTGTTACGTGTGTTGGGGGGAAATGAATGTTCTGAAAAACTGAATAATATATTAGAGGAAAAGTCTAGTAAGAACTATATGGCTCATTAATGATGACAACAGAGTGACTTGCCTAAAGTCATCCAGCTGGCTTTCATATTTAAGAAAGTCCTAGAACTCATAGCTTTCTAAGCCAGCACCTTAACCATTGCACCAAACTTATCTCATTATCATTCATTATCTCATTTTCCTAAATATTTTTTTGGGAAAAATGCTAAAGAAAATAAAGAATACCAAAAAGGACAGTTCAAGAAGGATCCGGGTCTTATTTTTCAGCTCCAGGATAGCTTGGGCTAATGTATCTTTACCTGCCTGAACTGCCTACTCTGCTTGGACTCTTTTTTTGTGTGCCTCCACCAAATGAAACCAGGAGAAGACCTTCTCAACAGTGTGAGCTGACGTTGGGAATGATTTATGTGGGATACATAGATGCCATCCCCACGGATGACTTTGCATTCTAGATCAAGTGTCAGCCATTCAAGACAGGGAAGGTCAGCACAAAATTAGTTAAAATGTGTCCAAATTTATCCCCTATTTGTTGAAAATGCTCCCAGAAAAACAGATTATATTATCTTATATGGTGGACTGGTAGGAAAGCCAAGGAATTTTGGTATAAAATTCAAAATTAGTTAGAAGAAATTGGTGAGATTTTTTTTGCTGAGAATAAATACAGAGAGATACAATAAGGAACTAATACATCTAATAATACACGTGATCATAGCAGCAAGATTAGTTTATGCTCAAAAGTGGGAAGTTAAGGAAATTCCCGATGAAACCGAGATAATTTGAAAGATATGGACATGTGCCAAAATGGATAAATTAATGTTGGAAACAAAAAATAAGGATGAGACTGAATACTATAAAGTATGGGATAAATTTTACCAATGGTGGGGAAAAAGGAAGGACTTAAAATCAAAATAATGATATTAAGATAGTAGATTAGAAATATGGAAAATTGCTGTAATGTATAAATGTGTATATTATGTAAATGTATATTATATGCTGTCCACAATAGATATGTATGACAAATATGTTTGTCAGGATGATTACATTATGTTCATTGTTTTAATGTTTTTGTTAAATAAAAATTTATAATTAAAAAAAAAGACAGGCAACAGGTTAGGAAACAGGTTCCACAAATTTGGATAGACCCGTATTTTATTGATTTAGTAATAGAAATTTGAAAGCCTCATTTATACCCCCCTTCCCTCTTTCTTATACCCAAGTGAATTAAAATAGAGACAGACTGAACTTTTTCCCTCATGTTTTCTTGGTTTCCCAGGCTTCAAGCATGTTTTTGCAACCATTGTCTCTGTTTAATTTCTCCAAGGTCATCTCCTTGGCTCTCCACATCAGATTATTTCTTATTTCCTGAGTACTTTTACTCTGCTGTGTTGTCAGTGTTCACACAAGTCTGATCCAGCCACTCACCTGGCATAAACAGATGAATTTAAAGGACACACACAATGAAATTCTATTCAAATTAAATAAAGACCAGCCATTTTAGACTGCCTTAAACTCTCCTACTTGGAGAGAGATTGAAGACCCAGGTAGTCCTTGATTTATGACCATAATAGGGACCAGAACTTCTATCAAGTGATGCAGTTGTTAAGTGAGTCATATCTGAGTTTATGATTATTATTTTTTGCCACAGTCATTAAGGGAATCCCATAGGTGCTAAGTGAATCCAGTTTCTTCCATTCACTTTCCTTGTTTGAAGCCCCCCAAGAAGATTGCAAATGATGAGGATTGCTACAACCACGCTAAATACATGCCAGTTGCCGAATGCAAGGATGGTTATAAATCACTTTTTCCAGCACTGTCATCATTTTGAAAGCTCATTAAACAAGTATGTTAAGTCAAGGACTACCTATCCACAAAAAATATATGGTGGCCAAATGAGATCGATACCAGTACAGATAGTATCAGTACCCATATTCATCCCATTTGTGTGTGTGTGTGTGTGTGTGTGTGTGTGTGTGAGAGAGAGAGAGAGAGAGAGAGAGAGAGAATGTAGTCTGCATACCAACCCATTCTCTAACCTCATTAGCCAAATAGCAAAAACTGAGCCAGTAAGTAGCTTTGTAATCCACCAAAAGAACTTCAATTATTAACAGGATTCAAAATGTACTATATAAACAAGTAAGTGCTGATACTTATGCTGGAAGAACAAGGAATGTCTTTCTTATACTGAACACATGGGCCATCTTTTTAAGCTGCTGACAGCTGAAAGGAACATGGCGATGACATGCAGTTTTGCAGTTTCTGCAAAACTGAAATGTCGGGCCCCTTTAAGAGACAGGCTATTGCCTACTTCTACTGCATTGAATACGTGATAATATTGTGTAAATACTTTTTATG